AGGAAAAGACCGTTTAATACAGCTCCACTCGGGAAACTGAGATATTCTTACGGAAACTTAAACCTGGCTTTATATCGCGCAAATAACATCAGCATACAACGCATCAAGCGATAAAAGAGTCAAAAATGAAAATTAACCTACCATACTCTAGTGGTTTTTCATCTTCACGAGTCTTTCACAGAGCCGGTGCGTGGTTGTTTTTCCGCAGTCATTTAGGACTACTGTTTTTAGATTGACCAAATATAGTAGCCAAATATTTTTTTCAAAATGCACTGAAAATCTAAGTTTTATTACCTGAGAAACAGTAATAAAAGTTTTACCAAGTTTTAATAAAATGATTTACAGTGATGCGGTTTGCTAGCTAGTATGCTGACCATCCAATCAAAGGACGAGAAAATGCTGACGTTATCGTTAGCCAGCTAGATGGCCCTGGTGCTGCCAACTCGAAATCTAATTGGTTAAAGCAACGGTTTCATTGCCATTGATTTAAGCTAACAGCCCCCTGCCATGTTGATTCTGAAGGCCTTAAGGCAGATTTCTTTGACCCTGGCAACACGATTGCTGAAATATGATTGGATAAAGGCTCTAATATAAACATACAGTGCTGGAAGCAGTGCAACCAAGAGAAAATCTATGAAATGAAGAGAATAAACTATTGTAAATAATTTAATACACATTCATGGAAAAATATATTAAACTAAATCAGTGATTCTGATAGTGTTTAGGCCAGCAGAGAAGGCTTTGCTGGCCCTGACGGCCCACCACTGGTTATAAATGAGGCATTAGTTGCTTCCAGTGGGGACATAATTACGGATTATAATGACTTATACTGTCTTTTTACGCGTTGTATTGCATCGCGCCGCGCAAACCTAAAACCATGCCTGCACTTGTGATCGGAGAAATGACAAACTACAAACGCTACCCTACACTGCTCAAAACTCACGTTTGAATCGTCAGTGGCAAATTCTTTAAATATAAAAAAAAAAAAACCTACTTACAGTCTGAGTCAGAACAGCCGGCATTGTAGTCTACTCTTCCAGGATCAGGAAACAGTCCTCCATAAAATGCACTGGACACATCGGAATATTTGGGTTGAACTGTTCTGGAACAGTGTTGTAAATACAACTTAGCCACTGATTTCTAGTCGTGTCCTCTTTTGGAAGACCAAACAAAGTAGTTTCGCTTTCACAACGAAACACAGCGTCACACACAGCAGGCTAGAGTGAGCAGAGGCCGGCTTGAGTGAGCGGCGGCGGCGGGTGGGCTTGTGGCAACCACATGTGACGACCCCGGGCTGGACTCCACTTCGTCCACGGTGAAAGCCGATCCGGCGATCCACAGCGCGAAGTTGATGTATTTCCTCAGCAACCAGCACGTATCAGCTCTAGGCATGACGAAGCGGATATCGTCCTTTTTTGGAAGACCAAACAAAGTAGTTTCGCTTTCACAACGAAACACAGCACCTTCATGACAT